CCCTGGCCACTACTTGGATTTGTTTCACGGTAGCCCCGAGTATCAAATCCTCGGCCATGCTTGTGATATAGCCAACTGGTTTGCCTTCGGCCAGTTGGGATTCTTAACAACGTTATTTTCAATTTGAATTAATTGTTTAAGTTGTTTCGTGGAGAACCTGTAAACTAGCTTCTAGCTAAGTGTTTCTCCACGTTAAAATGTTTATTATTATTATTATTATTGTTATTATTATGCTAACCAATTTTGATTTTTATGAATCATTAGACAACACTCCGAGTCCGTTGTTGTATTCTCGTACACCTGTGGTTCCTCAGTTGATTTGGTCGTGGCCAGAGTGGTTTGGATTTGTGAACTTCAACATAACTTTTGACCAACAGGTAATGCGGAGTTAATGAGCCATTGGTGATTATCCCTTGAAAGACCACTTTGGTTCGTGACTTGCGAAACAAGACGCCCGTTCTCCAGTGGAATTATTCACAACGCTGAATAATCAAATTATTCAGCGTTGTGAATAATTTGATTCTCTTGCGAAAAAGCCCAGAATATCTCATGAAAATCTACAAAATAAGAAAATGATCTTTCAGGCAAGCTATAATCGGGGAGATTTCAAAACAAGAAGCTTGAAAAAAATTTAGGCTTCGAAGGGACTCAAACCCGTGCCGCCTAGATATCAATCAAGCTCTACTGACCAACTGAGTGCTTGCTAAAAATCCACATTTAAAGGATGAAGAAAATTCCTTTGGATTTTTTTGTCCTAGTGTATCAATCTGATACCAAATGAAGGAATTAAATCAAGTTTTTATCCGCGGATAACGACGTACAAATGACAAAATACGATCCTCAGGTGAACTTAATTGAAGAAATAGTGGACATTTGTTTTCATCCATAGGTCGAAACATGATCTGTTTCATTTATTTTTGCTCAAGAGTTGTCCATGTGTGACATCTGTCCAATATCATGAAAACGCATATCAGGAGTCATGTAGGCCTGTTGAGTTGAACGTGAATTTTATGGTGTCGTCCAACTAAAGATGGTACACGTCTATGACATGAAGGAGGCCATTAGCTGATAGTAATTTTATATGAGTCCGCTATACAACAAAATGAAAGCGGGCCAACATTGAGGAAGCATCTTGAGTTAAGCTTGGTATTTAACCTCTAAATAAGTATGTAGACTTAATTTAACAAGAGTAAGATAAGAAAATAATTAAAACTGATGAAGTCATAGCCCTCAGATTAAATGGAAGCTCTAAGCTTAAAACAAAGCATTACTTTTGTGAATGCGCCGTCCAAGAAAAGGATTGTTTTCAAACCCTGACCAAGTGAGATAACTGTTTCTATATAAACAGATCAAGAGGCCAAGACACTCCAAGTTTGTACGGATCGTCGTAGAGGGTCACGTGATTTACAAGCTTGACACGCGTTCTTCGAGCGACGTTACCTTCGACCAATTCACCCTAACGTTCCGCCTACCTCAACGTGTTCTCAGTATGCAAGGTAACTACTCTATTACAATTGACCGTGGTGTTGTGGTGGGTGTCGGATGTACATCGGATGGTCCGCCTTCCCCAGGAATCAGTTCCTTCAAAAGCTGGCGTTTCGAAATTGGTGTTTGTTCCAAGGGAACCTATTTGAATACCCTCAGTTGCAAAGGTAAGAATTGCTTTGTTGTTGCCAACATTTACCGCATTGAATATCGCTCTCTGATTTAGCGTGTTGCATCGAAATTTCAAGAAAGCTGCGTAGTTCTTGTTTATGCTCTAAACTGTATTGAAACATAAATATGTTTGAAAAGCTTTTTGTGAAGAGTGACAATTTCAGTGTTACCTAAGTGACCTATTTTACAACCACGCTATTTTTTCTATTGATTTCCCTATTTTAACTACTTAAAATTTGACAATCGGTTGCAATTCAAGGCATCTTAAAGCAGGGTCGGTCAATAGTAACATCCGAGAATCGCAAGTGCTCGAGGCCCTTGTTTTGCAAATTCAAGAACGATATTAACAAAAAGCTTTACTGTCGCTTTACTCAGGTTAGTGTAAGATATCATTAATGTCAAAAACATGATGAGTAGAAATTTCGATTCCCTTTTGCTTCCCTTTGATTGCTTCAGTGGCGGATCCAGGGGGAGTGTCCGGGGGGTTCCGGACCCCCCCTATCAGACCTGACGCTAAAACCTTTGAGACTGAAATTCTTACATCGACAGGATCGTATATCACTTTTTAACTGGCTGATTTTGTTAATGAATCCAAGTAAACGGTAAGCGGCTAAGGAATTATAACGTGCAACCGCGACTGGTGGAAGGGGAGTGTGGGGAGTGTGGGGAGTGTGGGAGAGAAGTGATTTGCCTCAAAAGAGTCCAACAGTCCTTTCTGAACCAAAGTTTGGACACCCCCACTAAAAAATTCCTGGATCCGCCCCTGTGCATTTTGTTAGTTTCTCCATTACAATATTTTCTAACAACGATTCCGCTATATAGACTTTCGTCGGTCATGATGTTAACTCAAGGCTACTCTAGTCTACTCTCAGCTATGCCGGGGTGAAAATGCCAGTATCAAGAACTTTGGTTCTTGATTCGAGATCCCGCTAGTCTTTGTGACTCGTCGCAAAGACTAGCGGGATTTCGAGATCAATTCAGATTTGCGAGACCCATGATTTTTTTATGGTATCATTCACCAAACCTCAAACTTTAAGACTAAAACGCGTGAGCCGCCTATACAAATTGTAAATTTCCTTTTACCATGAATCTAGAGGTGGATGAATGCTCTACGCCACTTTCCATTCTGAGCCGGAAGAAAAGAAGTCATTATTGGTATTACAGAAGTTACCAAGTATCTTCTTCACGAGGTGAATGCATATTTCTGTATCCTACCAACAGCATGCATTGATTCAGGCTAAAAAAATTCAAGGGAGATGTACGTTTATTCAATGCTGCAGCACACCAGATATGAATCATTACTAAGAATTAGTGTAATTGCTTAGGTGATTATGGAAATGTGCGCTTTCATTGGTCGAGGATTACGTCATATCTCGCCATATTCATCTCGTACAAGGTGATTATAGCAGGTACGCTAGATTTTAAAATGGCTGCCTCGCGTTTTGTCAGTGTTACCTGATAAAGAATAGTCAATTCCGAAGAGTACAAAAGATGCTATTTAGTTTGGAGTAACACTTTTCAAAAGAAAGATATGGAGTTTTTGTTGATTAAATTAAATTAACCAATCAAATTCTAATGGAAACTGGCCCTTTATCTCGATTGAGACGAATAATCAAAATGGTTTCAATATCAAAACGGATAGTTAGAACATAATTCGAAAGCACCTTACAGTACCTGCCGGGGATTATTCAACGATATTCACTGAACCTTCGGCGAACAATTGTTAAATAGTGGTTTTTATTTTCCTTGTCTGCGTCATTTTATCTGCGAATGGCGGCAGCACTGCACGATTCAGCACGGCCAGCTAGCTTTGGTCAGGGTCTGGCCAAGCTGAAAGATTAATATATTGCCGTTAAATGACTTGCTTGTAATTATGAACAATGTACCAATTCATTTTACCAACGTGAACATATTTAAGTCGGGTGACTGGAACTACATGAAGTCTCGTCTGTTTGTTGTTAGGCATCACTTCAGCTGTCACCGCCATTTTACCTACACCAGGTATGGGATCCAAATGTGCGCCTTTTTTTCAGTTTGTCATTGTATTTGTTATTCTATCTAATTCACAAAAAAATCAATTTATCAGCGTGTCATTTATTTTTGTAGCAAATTTCATTTCGTTGTTCTTATTATTCTTATTTCAGTTTCTTTGCGAGCTACTCCAGCCATTTATTCTCCTTCCATTTTACAAACATCTCCACACACAAGTGCAAGTAAGTGTTGAAATAGTTCATAGAGGGGACTACTCCAAGAAAAAAAAAACACGGAAAAGAGAAAAACAACAGTTCTTTAGTTTATATTGTGTGCAATCTTTTGCTTTTTTCTGTTCAAACGTTGTGAGTGGATAAATTAATAGGAAGTCTCTACTAGTCAGTAACTAGGATGTGATTGAAATGCTTGAATTTTGTCCTTTGTCAGCTCTAGAAACCTAAAGAAAAATAAATCAAGAAGTCTATCGGGTTTCGTAACTACTAGATTTAATTGGCTTTGCTGTTCATATAATCTATCCCCAACAATTGAATATCATCATCAAGAAGGATCCTGTGTAAAAATTTCAAAAGTGTATTTGCTTAATAAGAATTATTTATCAATTTACGTTTCAACTTACTGCTTGGAAGGTGCATGCTTTCCCTTATTGAGTTCCTTGACCCCAAGCATTTATTTCGAGGAACCAAACACGATAACTTGCACTCTGTTCTTCGTTCTTACGTACTGTTTAAAGACTCGCTAAACATTAAGGCGACAGCTACCTCGATAACACCTGCTGCATCCAGTACACCATTTGTACTACACCTACCTGCCAATTGTCAGCATGACTGTGTTAACACGTGGGGAAGTTATTACTGTACTTGTCGTCAGGGATACAGGTTAGAGGTGGATGGGAGGAATTGTCTGGGTAAGTTAGAGATTTCACTGTACCGCAATAGCTCCCTCTAATAACACATAGAGAAGTAGCCGAATACGCAATGAATCCTTATGTTAAATGAACTTTTTCTATCTTTTGTGCGAGAGATTTGCTATTCACGAATAGAGCTCCATATGTCGTAATCGTTAATGTTTGATCTACATCTTTTATTGAAATGTTTAAAGAGTCATCATCGTAGCCCGAGATTTTTGGTATTTATTCAGTTTTTAACGTTGTTTTCAGATAATAAATGTGTCTTATCGTTCCCAAGTTCTATATAAGCCACTATTTTTTGTTTTAAATTAGCTGTCCCTTTTATTCTGGTAGAATTTCATAGTATTTTATTTGTAATTTTCATTTAGTTTTCATTTTCCCACGATTATTGATTTTTACCACTAGATATAAATGAATGCGAAACTCAAAATGGCGGCTGCACCCACCAGTGTGTAAATATACCAGGAGGTCACTACTGCAAATGTCCAGAGGGTGTGACGATGGGCTTTGACAACAAGACTTGCCATGGTAAAGAGAAAAAAAAACATATTGAAAGGAATATTTTGTGCGAAACATTATTTCAGTTAACGACATAGTTCTCTCTAATACGTTTACAAAATATTCCTTAAGCTAACTACGTAGTTTTCTGTAATACGCTTACACTTGATATCCGTCAAACTACTATCTATTAACCATCAAGGACCTTACGCAAATCAAGACGGCGACAGCAGCGAGAACGCAGGAAACAGCAGCAGGAAAACATCGAATGTTAAGTAGTCTGAGAACATAAGTCCCGAAAGGAATTTTTTTCTAAAAAATACTTAAAATATTTGCCTGGAACTTAAGGAAGCCTTCACATTTTACGTCGTAGAGGAGGTTTGACGCTGTTTAAGATAAAATCTTACCACGAATTTGTGTTCATTTTCGAAATTATCTTTTACGGAGCCTCGCTGTCGTCACAGCGCACGGTCCCTTGCATAAACAAAGTTGCAAAAAAACAAACAGCAAACAAACAAATAAATAAAACAAAACAAACACAAGAAAAGAGAGAGAAAGAAAACTGACTGACTTTCGCTAAAACTTCTATGGTTAACATTTTCATTTTTTTCAGAACCTGGTATTACGGTGAAATGCACTGGTGAAGCCATGTTTATCTTTCTGGAGAGAAAATCTTTTCAAGGCTTTGATCCAAACAAGCTAGCACTGCTTTACTCGTCATGCCGCGCGTCTTATAATGATTCCCACATATCTTTGCGCACGAGTCTCAACGATTGTGGAACCACGCATAACGAAAGCGAGGACGCGATAACTTTCTACAACGAAGTGCGAAGTGTTCAGTCCTACTGCGGCAACATCATCACTCGGGAACAAAACGTGTCAATTCTTTTCTACTGCAGTTATAGACGTAAGGCCTTGCTACGAAATCCAAGTTTCAAAATCTGGAAGACCCATTTCACAGCTTCGGAAGGTAACATTTAACAAGGAAATGATCATGTAGTTTCATTTGTTTTTAAAAATAACATCGCCTTTATTATAGAAAGTCAATGCTCAGTTCATCTCCAGTTTATATCCTCCAAGGGGAAGCATTCATTTGATAAATCTTCGGTTCGTCTTTTTGCCAACCCGATGGTACCCTTTCAGCCGTCACATAACAGTGTGATGTGATTTGACGACCTTTATTGCTTTCTGAGATCATACCTGCAAAGACGAAAAAGGGAAAAAACACCGAATGAGCTTTTCATTTTCACTTTTAGTTTTTGCTCAGCTTTTACTGGATTTTCTGTCATTATGCTGCCATTGTTCCTGGCAAAAACCTGGCCGCGTGATTCATAACATTTACAGATCTATGATAGAAGGGCCGCAAATTTCAATTTATTTTCATAGGTGGATATGGTAACTTCACATTCACAATGGATCTATTCAAGACGGGCAGATATCTTACACCGTACAGCTATAATGACTATCCAATCACGGTTCATCTTCGGGATCGCTTGTTTCTTCAGTTAGCGGTCCGTTCATACCAGTCTAACCTGGTTCTCTTTGTCGACACCTGCAAGGCGACCACCACTACTGATCCGTACTCAGTTCCTCAGTATATCTTCTTACAAAGAGGGTAATATCCGCTAGCACTGCAAAACGCTTACTGAAATGCAGGTTAATGCAGGTTCTCCCTCAATGAACGTTTTGGAGTTACCAACACTAATTGGCGGCGTGAATAATTTCACAATGTTTCTTTGGAATACATTTAAACTTGATAAGAATGTGGTAACTGATGGCGAATATTTGAGTGGTCAATAAACAGCCGTAACTCAAGCCACCGAAAAACGCTTTATTAAGATCGTCTTTGATATATTAAAGTTCACAATTCAAGGCAACCAGGTGGCGGCTTACTACCTGACGCCTATTTACACCTCGTCAGAAGAAAGGGCTGCTAATTAGTGAGCATATTAAAAGAACCCTTGTTGCAACAATTAGATCACCCCTGATGAAGGCAATCGGCAGGAGTGTCGAAACGTTGGGTCGATGAATTGTAATTTCCCGGTTACATTCATTAAATTCTTAAACTAGAGCAAACCATGTCTAAGATCGTTAACTTTCTGTTCGTGGGGTTGTTTTGAAGGTACAAAACTTTAATTATTTAGTGGGTGTCAGAGAAGTCCATCTTCAAATTCAAATAATCCTCTTTGTTGGCTGCAGATGTAAGCTGGATTCAACCCTCAATTATTCGTACTCCATCAGCTCCAAACAGCGTTTTAGTATTCAAGCGTTCCGTTTTATTGAAGACCATCCAGTAGTGCATCTTCACTGTGAAGTTCTGGCTTGCCATCGCAACACTGCCCGCTCCCGCTGCCTTCAGGGATGCTCCCGCTATCGTGGACGGAGAAGCGATCGCGAGGCATATGGTTCTGAGAGTACTAAGGCGTACGACATGTCGTCTGGACCAATCAATTTCAAAAAAGAGTCGAGCGGAACGGAAACGAAAGAAGGTGAGTTAGCGCCATTTATCGATTTGCTTGATTGACCTGGATTAGTTTTGGAGGAAGTGGTGAGTTGCGGTTAACGATTTACTGAATACATATGTGGAAAGTGTAGGTGTCGATAGATATTCCAAACTCCTGCATGAATCGTTGTGATGACCTCGTTAGATTGACCATGGAATAAGCACGAAAGAATTGCTACACTTTCCCATCTCGGTACAGGCTACTAAACACCGAAAAAACATCAGATGATTGTACAAGATCCTTACATAATTTGCTGAAGCAACCGTGAATCATTACACATGACCCAACTTACTTGCTTTCTTTTTTTCGTCCATTTAGCTGAAACTCAAAGCAACATGGGCATAATCACAATAATGGCGGCATCCGGCGGATTTTGTCTCCTTCTTGTTATCATTCTGATCATTGTCGTCATCCGAATGAAGAAACAGAACAAAGTCTACGCCATGGAACAGTATGGCAAAAACTTCAAGCAAGAGAACAACAACTTTGGCTTCACTCAGGATAACGATCTGAACGAGATGGGACACAAGCCAATTATTATGAAACCCGTGCACAGAAACCTCATCTCTTAACTGCGCTATTACTTTGGAGAAGTTGATGCGGAAAAAATAAGCGTTTCCCCGAAGGATTTTAACGCCTTGGACTGATATATGTTAAGGACTGGAATGCTCGTACAAAAATGTGGATTTCCCCCCCCAAAAAAAAGGGGACTAATTTGAATATAACTAGTGCGTCAGGCTTTTATAGCCCTAAAAAAATTTCCGTCTATTAAAACATCTAAGCAATCTCATGGCAATATTTCCTTATTGATTAAGACTACGAAAACAGCGCAACGGCGTTGTTTAATGCCCTCCTGTGAAACCTAGAGCAGATACATTGACAATTAATTATGTTAGTGTTTTGACTGGAATACCCCTAGTATTGCCAAATCTGCACCTTCGTCCTTCCTTAAACTACGAGCATTCCTGGAGACCCACGGGAAATACTGATTACTTCTTTCCTGTTGGTATTATAACTTGCGCTTGTAGCTGCCAGTGAGTTATTTTGTTAATTTTTTTCCTTTTTCAGATGTATAAACAATTTAGATGTTGCTCTCAAAGTTAAACTTCTGCTTCAGAGCGATAGGCATGGTGTGTTAATTACAGCCACATGTAATTTGGTTGTGCGCGTGTTTTTAATTTGGTCATTTTTTTATTTTTCGTAGAGTTTGACTACAAAACCCACAAAAAACACAGCTTCACAAAATTTATTGATTTCCTGTAGTGTAATGCTATTAGTTTTGGCTAATAATCTTCATCGGAGTGTGTTTCTGTTGTTGTCATCGCCAAGATTATAAACGGGTTTTCTTTTATCTTTAACATATTGTATCTGCTTATACAACGGGCCGAATTAAAGTGTTTGCTTTTTTACAAGATTTTGGGTTATCGTAAGTAAGCTTCAAATCTAACTGAGTGTGAGAACCTTCAAAACTCGACAGTCCATTTCGGTTCTCTCTGGTGATTTCCTAATTCGTCTCTGCTCATGTTTTGATAACGTCAGTAACGGCGCTTGGCAATTTAACATTTACAATTCTTTGTTTGGTTCTTCTGTTGCTACTCTCCGGCTTGCAAGTTCAGAAATTTCACTTTGAATTAGCGAAAAAAATTGGAGAGAAGTCCAGGAAATGGTCAGACATTGTACAAATTGGAAGATGGTTTAACAGCTTTAGCTCAGCTCCGTGTTTTGTACTCTGATCTCTGATGAACACGCTCTTTCAACCAGTGACAGCGCTTACTATATCCGAACTTTATTATAAACTACTCTATCTACGTACAAATTGTGATGCGCAAATATTTCCCTATTGGATGATGATAAAAAAGCTTATTTAAGTCACGAGAACATGTACAGAGTCAAAAAATTATTTCAGAAATACGTTTTTGCTTTTCTTTCTCATCAATCAGTCAATCAATCAATCATTTATTTTAACACGTTTCGTCAAAGACCTAAAAAAAACTCGCTCAAAATACGAACGTGTATAAATAAAATCTATAATGATTACAGCCATATAATATTAAATTTTAAAAACAACAGAAAGCCACATACTGAAAGCATGACTTGTAAAAC